CATCCATCCAACCATCATCCATCCATCCATCCATCCATCCATCTCAGATCATTTCTTCTGCTGAACCAAAATGACTTCCTGTCAATAAAGCATCTTGTTTAATAAACACGACTCTTCTTCTCTTGTTGATCAGACTCCAGCGTCCTGGCGGGATCATGGGCGGGGCATACGGACGCCGTGTGGGGATTGGCTTACAGCGGCATCAAGAACCGCCTCCTGTCCTGCTCCGCCGATGGAACGGTGAAGCTTTGGAACCCGGCGGAGAAAGAACCCTGCATCAGCACTTTCAACACAAACACAGGTGAGACCACCGAGAGCTCGGACCCCCAGCAGCAGACCTGGACCCAGCCTGGGCTTTATTATTCATTAATGTAAACTGTCTGATGGCAGCTGGGTCCTTAGAACCGCTCCTTTCCGGTCCCGATGACAGTTTCTTTAAAAAGAGTAATGGTTCTCCTTCATATGTCCACCTGCAGAACACGGGGTRCCCACCTCGGTGGACTTCAACGGTTGTGACCCCGCCCACATGGTGGTGTCCTTCAACACCGGAGACGTGGTGGTCTACGACCTGGAGACCTCCCAGATGGCACTGGTGCTGAAGGGTCAAGGCGACAGCAGTAAGAGCACCAACAGGTCAGGTGACCCGCTGAGACCGGTTCAGACTTGACTCAGGTTTTTCTTTTCCCTCCTCTGGCTCAGARGTCCCGGGTTTGAATCACATCAACAAGGTGGTGAGTCACCCCACGCTGCCCGTCACCATCACCGCTCACGAGGATCGACAGATCAAGTTCTTTGATAACAAGTCAGGTGAGTGGGGGAGGGGGGCTTAGGTCAGATAACACATAAAGGGGAGGTAAAATGGGYCAGGRTCAGAGGAGTAGGTGACGTTGAGGGAGGGTGGGGGTCCATGCTAGGCCCAACCCTGGGCCAATCCAGAGTCACATGATGTTATTGTCTCTACTTAGTTTGCTAAAGTTCAGAGTTTTTCCTCCTCAGCCAGTTGAGTTCCAAGGTCCAACACACACAGGTGATGGGGGTGGGAGCGAATCCTGCTTTTAGTTGACATTTCATCCTGGGGAAGTTCAGATAAGCACTGCCCTCAAGGCCGTGCCGCTGGGAGCCAGATAGGTAATCCAATTGTTTTGGAACAAAGCAGCCTTGAATTTTCTGCTGCTTTTGAAATGTCTTTACTGCAAACTCTGAGGTGGCTTAAAAAAAAGCCAGTCGGCCGAATTTGCGGTCATTCTTTGCCTCTCACCGTCTGAAGCTCACCCAGWTGTGGCCATACGGGTCGCTCCTGAGCTGTGATCATCAGTCACATCCAGTTTGCAAATTTTTCCCCCAGCTGAGAGTCTGTGTGCTACCAACCTGGCAGAATCCTTCAAGTGCYCCTGACAGCTCTTCAAAGGCCCGATAACTGTCAGGGTCGCTTTCACTTTTCGATAAATCTGGAACCCTCCTCCGCCGATCAGCAGGAATCCAGTTATCAGAAATCCAATTAAATAAAGATCTTCCATGTTTTCGATGGAAAGTGGTGCTGGCATATCAGATTCCAGCCCCAGGAGTCAGACAAGTCCAGAGAGAGCGAAAGCACGTCCTGGTCCTCTGAAGGCCAAGCAGAACATTATGCAGGTGTTGCAGGTGATCATTAAAAACTAAAGTGACATGTGTCCCACAGAGTGTATTATTCCACAGTGAGTGAGTTTCTCTCTGATCGAATCAATCCGTCCTGCAGGGAAAGTGATCCACGCCATGGTGGCCCACCTGGACGCAGTGACCAGTCTGGCTGTGGATCCAAARGGCATCTACCTGATCTCCGGCAGTGAGTCTCCTGGCGTCTTTCCCCGCATGACTTCCTGTCCGAGCGCCTCGTGTCGCTGACGTTCTGCTCCTCTTCCTCCTCAGGTCACGACTGCTCCCTGCGCCTGTGGAACCTGGACAGCAAGACCTGCGTCCAGGAGATCACGGCTCACCGGAAGAAGAGCGAGGAGGCCATCTACGACGTGACCTTCCACCCCTCCAAGGCCTACATRGCCTCTGCCGGAGCCGACGCCCTCGCCCGGGTCTARGTGTAGACGAGGAAYAGGAGGAGGAGGAAGACGACCGCAGGCCAAGAGACGGAGCAGGAACTAAAAACAGCAAACGGTCCAATCCAGACCCATCCAGTCCGGTCCCACGCAGCCAGGATTCAGGTCTGAACCCAGAATCTAAAGGGTCCGAACAGCCTGCAGGTGGAGTCAGCAGACTGAAACCCTGGAGCTGCAGCTGTGACGGCAGTCTGCACTGTCCAAACTTTAGTTTGCCCGTCTCCCACCGCCTCGTGTTTAACTGTAGTGCAATCTCCTGATCCAGACCAGACAGATCCAGCAGCTTAAAGAAAAACTCCCCCGACGTCAGGAGCGTTGACGCACATTTATTCACAACAGCCGTGCTGCTTGCAGCGTCATTAGCTTTGTTTTCACTACATCTGTCACTTCGGCAGGAGCTTAAACTAAATTATGACTCGTTATAAAAAATATTTAAAACAATCAAGGCTGAAGCAGCTTGATTTATAAGTGTAGATTATTTTACTGTAAGTCTGATGGAGGAAACAGGTTTTAGTGCTTTTATTTTTGTAATCASAAAAAATAAATCTGGTTGTGAAGAAGTGATCAGTTTAAATTTTCTTCTGTTATTTCTGTGACTGAAAGAAAAGTAAAGAAATAACAGAATAAAAGTCWCGGATCGTCCGCTGTCTTGAGAACCACAGTTTTAACTGAAGTTCTGGTGTGGTCCATTCGCTCTCAGAGGATGTGCTGAGGCTGTATGGCAAGGTATGAGGGACAAAATTAAGACCAGTGGTTGCTACATCCTTGTAGCAGGAGGCTATATCTATTCCTAAACTAGCTATTGATCTGATTAATGATATAGCATGGATAATCTGGTGTTAGCATCAGAGAGGCTAGCTATTAGCATGGAAAATCTGGTGTTAGCATCGGAGAGGCTAGAGACTAGCATAGATAATCTGGTGTTAGCATCAGAGAGGCTAGCAATTAGCATGCATAATTTGGTGTTAGCATCAGAGAGGCTAGCTATTAGCATGGATGATTTGGTTAGCATCAGAGAGGCTAGCTACTAGCATGGATGATTTGGTTAGCATCAGAGAGGCTAGCAACTAGCATGCATAATCTGGTGTTAGCATCGGAAAGGTTAGAGACTAGCATAGATAATCTGGTGTTAGCGTCAGAGAGGCTAGCAACTAGCATGGATAAGCTGTTAGCATTGGAGATGCTAGCAACTAGCATGGATAATCTGGTGTTAGCATCAGCAAGGCTAGCGACTAGCATAGATAAGATGGTGGTTTTATCATTAATCAGATCAYTAGCTAGCTCAGGAATAGATGTAGCCTCCTGCAACGAGGATGTAGCAACCACTCAACAGTTTTAGTTCTGGCTCTCACCACATCATACAGATGACTCTCAGCTACTACCACACCACATTTTAGTTTATTAGCTGTAAATCTGACTGAGTTAGAGCCGTATTTGTATTTAATGAAGTTGATTAAAGCTGTGGCGGCCATCTTGAATRGTAGATGAGCGTCCAGTGAAAACTTTGAATTAACTGAGAAAATTTCAGACATTTATTTTCTCTTTACTGAGGTTTTATTTATTAACGATAAAACAAACTCAGACACTGACGTGGATAYATCTGTTGGTACCCTTTCACAATAAGAGTCCCGTACTTTTTGGTGACTTCCTGTGTTTTCCTCCTGCTCGTCTTCAGAACGATCAGAAAGTGTTTCACTTTAGATTTCAGCTTTAATGGTTTTCAGATGGTTTCCTGTCCGTTTGATCAACKTGGGGTCGCATTTCTTCTTGCGTCCATCCTGTAAGGTTGGCTGCAGTCCCATGAACTTTATAATCTTTAATAAACTTTAACAGCTCTTTGATCTTTTCAAACAGGCTGAATGTTTGAAGGTTCCTGTGATAGTAAATAATATGAACTGAACCAGACTGCAGGGATTATTGGTTGTTTTTTTAAACTAATTTTTTGTAAAATAATCAGTAAATTTCTCTTTAACGTGTATCTGAAAGACTTCAGGAAGAGAAAAACAAACTTTTAACTGAATCACTTTTCCCATTGAGAACTGAGGGGCACCGGCTTATTTATCTGTGAGGATTTAATCGTCTTTATTCTGCGTTTTTTACATTTTTATTTACGCACAGAAGGTCCGAACCCAGCTTCTGGAGCTGACCCGACTTTAATAAATTAAATTTTCTTCAAACAGCTGATTTAGAACCTGAATCAGCTGTTTGGTGTTCTAGAGACAAAAACATTTCAGAACCAGAACTGAAAGGTCCGACAGAAACGAGACTGAATGTTTTTAACCTTCGGGGGATTTTTCCTTTAAAGCTGTAGAACCGACCGTCTGATTCATCTGAATATCTGGGGTTTAAACTGTTTTGTTTTTTTCAAAAAAGTCAGATATTCTGTATTTCTGATGAGATTTGAGCTGATTGGACGTCGTCGGCCAATCAGAGCTCGTCCTGTAAAGCCTCGTTATGAAGCGGGGAGGAGATTCAGACGTTTAGAGCTCTACTTTAGTTTCTTATTTTTGTTTGTGTGGAATAAATCTAGTTTTTATAATCTGTTTTTATATAAAAAAAAAAAAGTTAAAATAA